GGTCATATTCAAATAGTTACGATTTTTATAACTCGTATTAGTCTTAAAATTACTGTGAACTTAAAAAAGAAATGTCATTTTCTTGCTTCATTGTCACGGAGTTTGGGAACTTTAGTTTCACTCACAAAATCCTCTTGATAAAAAGTTCTAATTTATCATAACTTCCCATTTTTCAGGAATGAAAAAGAAGGGGGGATTGTGAAGGCCAAGGAGACCGGGGGATGACAAATAGTCATTCCGGCTCCGAAGCTCATTCTCAGACTGCCGGTCATTAGAACTTGTCAGATCAGTATCTTTAGGCGGCGTTACATCATCAAAATATAAGGCTGGTACTCAAGTCTTCAAAGATAATGAATATACAGTATTAAACATATAAATTTACTTCATCGTAAGAGCTTCTCAAACAGTAATCAATGAGTAGAATAAACAAAAAGGCTTAGAAAAAGCCATCTTAACTCCAGTTTATTTATTTTGCTTAATCTTTTATACAAAAATCATATAGAACTAGGAAAGCCCCTTTACATTATTAAATAAATATGTAAACAATTTTAAAATAAAAATTATTACAAATAAACATGAAGAATTAAATACACATCTAATGCTAAAAAAAATCAATGTAATACCTGTTCAGACGTCCAAGCATGAGAAATCTTGACCTTTAAACACACCAGCCTGTTCTTCATCGAAAGGAAGACTGGTGAATGGAAAAGTGTTTAATAACATCTGAAGAAGAAACTTCACGGTGCAGATGAAATATGTTAGATTATTTGAAACTTGCTTAACCCCGAAAAGTATAACTATATTTTTTTCCTTAAAATAAAAGAAGTCGTGTGAGAGCCACTTAACAATTTCAATCAAATTTTTTCATAATTATAATTTTTATTAACAGGATTCTTTCAGTAAATTTAACCTAATGAAGAAATATATTTCGGCAACAAAATATAAGATTTAAGGGGGCCACATTGAAAGTTTTTAAAGTTTCCATGAAAAAACACCAATAAAAGTAATTAAAGAATGAAAGAAAGAAATGAAAAAAGGCAAATAAAAGTTATCACTTTTTCTCAAAAAATTCTCTAGTATGCTAAATACAGCTTCTTATTCTTTCAAATCACGTGTTAAATATCGCTCCCTTTTCTTCGAAATAGTCTAACCAAACTGTGTGCTGTCCCGCATAGCAGTTTCAAATGACACAAATATCTGCAGTTATTTTTCTTGGCTTTGACAAATGAAAAAAAAAAAAAATTACATATAGCTAAATCTGAGCTAAAAGGAAAATTAAGAAGAACCTGAATATTTGAAGTGTCTGATATTCTATTGGTGGAGTGAGCTCTTGTGTTTTTATAATGCAGCACGATTTCTAACAGTCCAGTCTGCAGTCGTCTAATTCAATTTTTTTGAGCACATGTGGCAAATATTTTGCCGCACAACATTCGATGATTTGAACAAAACTTGCAGACGTGGCGTGGCGTGGAAAATACGTAATCTATTACAGGACATTCTTGAGATACATACTCTCAATCCCATATCATTATAGGTGATAAGATGCCTCCCCCCCCCCATTTTGTGTAGCTTGTAGAGACATTAGGTAGTTTTTGAAAGCAGGAGATGTGAAAAATGGGCATTGCCCTCGCCGGGACTCGAATCACGGACCTCTCGAATACGCACTGAATGTACTGCCGTTACACCACGAATGGATGCAGAAAGGAGAGAGAAAATACCTTATAGACTCCCCCTTTTGAACAGCGACTGGGGATTAGGGATCCCAGTCGCCAAATCCTGGTGGGAAGAATCATCATCCACTACCTTTTATTTCAGCCGCCACTGTAGAGACATTAGGTTACTTTTGAAGCAGGAATCATGAAAAATGAGCAGTGCCATCCCTGGACTCGAACCTGGACCTGTCAAATACGCGCTGTGTGTGCTACCGTTACACCAAGAGGACATGAAGAAAGGAGAAAGAAAATTCCTTATGCATTAAGGAAACAACCATCCAGCAAACAGGTACTTAGTTTATGAATTACATTGAGACAGCTAAGATTCATCATTTGTTATGATATTAAAAATTATTTTTGACTATCCTTCATTAACTATTTTCCATTTCGGTCTTTCGCGTTAAACTTTTCGAACCTGGAGTTAATAAATGTCAGGTGGCGAAGAATCCAGCATATAGGTGTAATATTTTCTTCTTAAATATATTTTGAACAGTTACCAATCTCATATTTAGACACTCTTCAACTTGAGCATGAGTTACAATTCATTAAGAATTGTAACTCATGCCAATTCATTAAGAATTGTACAATTACTTAAGAACAATTCATTAAGAATTGTAACTCATGCCGCTCAATTGATATCTGCTCCACAGTTATAATGTTTTGATCAATTGAAACAGTGGCCAAAACGATCTTCCTCTAATAAAGAATATAGTGCTTTTAGAATACTTTCAAGCGTAAATCCTGCAATTGGCACCTAGTCAACTGAAAATATCAGAACAGAGGCACCTTTGAAGGTATAATTTTAAATCCGAAATTTAGGCCTAAGAGATAAAAAAATATATAATTAATATAAATTATAATAATAAAAACATTCTGAAGATTTAAATGTGAAAACTGTTTATGTTATGCTTCTGACGCCCAGCGTAACGAAACTTATTCAACCAACAGACCAATGAATTATTTAAGAATTAAAAGAAAATAATTATATAAAAATGTTTCTATGTGTGAACTTTGATGATACTGTCCATATTTTCAGAAACAATTCAGATTGAAAGACGCAATATTTACTTTGTCTCTTACTTCCGTAAACTGTGACTTATGACCACGTAGATGACGAATTGATTGACGAAGATATTCTCGTTTTTAAAACATGTTCGACGTCCGAGGGTGGATGTAGTCTTCGAGCTAATTACATGTTCGGCCAAAGTTAATATTTGCGAACGCATGTTTGGAGGGGGGTATGTAGATCTGTTTCTGTCACAATCTCTCAAGATTACCACGAAGTAATTGGATATTCTTAAGAAAGGAGGAGAAGGAGGAAGATGAAGACATGCAGAGTATGAAATACAATGCCTAGGCATTGTATAGAATGCCGGACGGTTTTAGGCGAAGTATGAAATATGAGAATTATTACATACTTTCCCTAGGAATTGCATATAATACCTAGGCATTCTGTAGAATGACAAATGCATTTTAGGCAAAGTATGAAAAAAAGGTTATTGTAAAAAACGTTCATTCCTCAGAAATACAAATGTTATTTTGAAAAATTAATGAAAGAGTATCATTAAAAATGTGTTATTCGAAATACGTAAAAAAAAAAAAAAATAGTGAGATGATCTTGATGCATCGTAATGAGTTTGCCATCTGGCTGAGACTAGGACTTGGTAAGATTTACCTGACAACGGAAATACATTCAAAAACCATCATAAGTTTCACATCAATGGCCTTTTTAATATCAGTTTGTTTTTCTGGAAGGGCTCACAAAGACAGTTGTACAGTTCAATATCATTACGTGTAACGTTTTTGTATTTTGTTGAACATTTTTCCAACATTCTGTCACGTCCATGTCCAGTACTCAAATGAGTTTTCGTCAAATACGGAAAATAACTCGGCGTCACTGACGTAATACTATATAATACCAATAACGCTTTCTTTAACAGGGTAAATGAATGCACTTTCGTTTTTCCAGAACATTACATCCTAGCGATTAAGCAGCCAGTAGTCCCGTGGTTCCTTCTTATAAGTCTTAGTAGGGGCCTTTTTTACATTTAGAGTCATTTTTTTACACCATTTATTAACTTCTGGTAAGTAGTTTCGGTTCTTCGAAATAAGTCGGAAATGTATTTCATACTTTGCCGATTTGTCATTTGCCATTCTATACAATGCCTAGGAAATGTGTGAAATATGAATCGTTTCATATATTACCGGCTAGTTTTAGGCATTGTATACAATGCCTAGGCATTGTATAGAATGCCGAATTTCAAACTTTTGCGGTAACTATATATCTTTTTTTATTTTTGCGGTCCTTTGTCCTAACCATGTAGCGTAGCCTTTTCTTATAAAATCCACTTATAATTTTCTTACAAAGATTTCCTAGCTATATTAATATTACACACACGAAATTGCATCTTAAACAATGCGAAATATATATTTTACTTCGCATATACGTTCTCCTCATTGCATCTTTCTAAAGAACACTTTAACTAAGAAATTACATTAATTTGTATTAATGTTACCGTGAAAGACCGAAATTGGAGAATGTCGATTTTCACCGGAGAATGTCAACATTCACCAAATACGTCGGTGAAAGATCGAATATTTCTTTACATTCTTGTACATTCGGACCTCATCGGTGTATGTCGACAATCACAGAGATATGCTCTGGTGTAGGTCGAAAAGAGAGGAGTATATGTACACGCTGCCATTCCAAAAGGAAGTGTTCCAAACCACAATAAATGCAGTTGTAAAAGCAAGGGCCTCTTGTGCAATTCAAAGTGTCATAATAGTTTAAGTTGTTGCAATAAATAAGATTTGAATCACATAATTTGGTAAATTTATAACTTCTATTATTTTTCCTTTCTCATTTTGAATGTACTGTGTGTGTTTTAAGTTCTTATTCTGAGTCTTAAGTGCGTTTTTTGCGCGAATGAATTACGGAGAAGGAAGAAATATAATATTCTTATATGTTCAACATTCACATTAGTACATGGTGAATGTCGACATTCACCGGTGTAAGTCAGAAATAAGAGTACTTGGAAAATATTTCGGACATACACCAAGCGACTATGTGAATTCACCGGTGAAAGTCGACATTCTCCAGATTTCGGTGTTTCATCGTAACATTAATACTTCTCCTTTTCAGTGAAAAGCATTTTAACCGAATTTCACTTGGCTTTAGTACTCATTTATTTAACGCATTTCAATTAACGAACTAGTTTCAAATGTTGTGAAGAAATACTGTTCCATATTTTAGATATCAATGATTAGATGTATTTTTTGTATGTTTAGTTGGCCGCATGTTGAAAAGAAATGGCTCACGTGTCATCGCATACGTTCGAACTGTTCGAAATTCTTCTACAGACAGCTACGATGAGTATGTGAATTCGATTTAAAAAGTCTATTCAGATTACTTAAATGTGTAAAATTTTCATTCATGTAATTATTTTATATAGGGCAACTACAGATTTAAACAGAGTACTCGAAGAAGTTGACTACTTGTGCAATGTTCTGCCCAGTACTGATGAAACAAGGGGCCTTTTAGATGATCAATGTTATTAAAACAGTTAATCTAAGTTAAAGTAAAATTTTTAAAAAATACAGATATAGGGGCATGTTAAGAAGTTTATCTCACTTGTTGACTACTTGAAATGCAAATCCCAGTACTGACTGATGAAACAAGGGGCCTTTTAGATGATGATGTGCTCAAAAACTGCAAAAAGGTAAATTAAAAGTACAGTTTATCTAAGTTTTCAAAATTTGTTCCGTGTGCATTTGCTGCACAGAATTAAAGAAGTTTTTTTTTAATTAATTTTTGACAAAGAAACTGGCATGAGCCTAAGCATTTACCTTTTAACGTCAAACAAATTTGTCTCAGAAATGCAAGAAATGAATCTATATCAGTACAAATTTGAATACAAATCAAATTACTCCTGAAGCAGCCTTAAATTTTCTGTAGTACTTAAGCAAAAGCCCTCGAATGCTCAAAATGCATTGCAACAACGGAATAACTCTCGCCGCATGAGCAATCTTAAGCGAAAACTGATTTCAGCACCTTCAGAAACCAAAGTGGATGTTATGCTCAACTGCATATGTATCACTGTGGCTGTATAGTATGAAAATTATTATTTCTATTTCCGTTAAACTTCAATGAGCTTAGATGATTTCGTAATTTAGTAATATTACTCCATTTCCACAACTTTCAGATTTTTCTTACTAGAAATTTATCTAATAATACCTCATATGATTAAATTGCTTGAGTTTCAGCAGTAGAATTCATCCCTTTTTATTATATATAAACTATAAACCTCCTTAAAATAAAATTAATTAAAAAAGCTTTGCATTGGAAAGAATTAGTCTGCATATGCTCAGAAATAAAAACTGTAATTCCTTTTGTTTTAAAATACCTTGTGCAATTATAAATTTTTCTTTTCAGAAGCCTGTATTTATAAACATTGGAAGAGGTGATATAATCAGTGAAAACAATATAATAAAGGCCTTAAAGTAAGTATAGCTTTAATTGAGATTTTTAACATAATTTACATTTATATTATTATCTTTTTTTCGCGTAAAATGTGCCTAGTAGCAGAAGTTAGACATTGTATTGATTGTGGCGCCATCTGTGATCAAATAAGGTACTCAACGTTTAATAGTAAAAGTAGTAATTTTTTTCTAGAGAAAATAATAAATTTTGAACTTAAATTCGTAGAATTTTCCAAGCATTCCGGGGTAGGATTAATATTAACAGTTTTTCAAAATAATAAAAAGCAGGGTAAAAGCAGAGTTAAAATTACTGTAATACAGTAAACGCCCTTGTAAATAAAATAGGTATTAAAGCCTAATAAGAAAACTCTAAAATTCATGGATAAACTGACAAACTTCGCAGAAAATTTTAATAACCGTTAGTTCACCAAGCAATTCCCTAAAATAATTATGGAAATTCATATGGCAATAAAATTATTACCCTAATTATAATGCATCCTCATCAGCCCTTTCAATGACGGCGCATTCGCGAAAACAGTGCATTGATGTTAATTACCTAAATTTTATCCATCTATTAAATTTAATTGCTTAATATTAAGGATAAAGTTACTGTACATTTTACATCTTTATCTACTGTAAACGATTAAGAAGTCATATGTATGTAACATATCTAAAAAACATGGTAACAAACATGAATCGCGTATCTGGTATCCTTAGGTATTGCAAATTTTAAGTCTTACCTTATAAATGCATATCTAAACCTCAAGCATCAAAATTTAAACTAAATCTACTGTATTGTACTAATTAGGACCACTCTGATAAAATAGCTGACATAAAACACTTCTTGAAATTTTTCCTTTTGTGAAAATTATATTATAATTCACATGTATATTGATCACACTGTAATTTACATGCATATTCGGTCAAATAATATTACTTAACATCAGCTAAAGTTTTATGCATGTTAAGTAATTTTTACTCATCCTTCTGATTTACCTCACTGTGAAGATATTGCCACTAACTTTTCCATGTTAATTGGAAGACTGTATAAATATACCTGTGGGAATATTTAAAATACCATAAGTAGTCCTGATTAGCGATTATCAGTATCAACTTTTCTATATGCTACAGCACAGAAGCACCTACAGCACTTGAAGATATTGCAATACCTTCATTTTAACTTTATACTTCATTTATGATTTTTACATTACCTAGAATATAAATCTATCTGTCTTTTAGTTTTATCTGTTGTCAAATAAATTATATGAAATGAATATAATTTTCATTTAATTACTTATTCTATAATAAATGCGTTCGAAAACAGCGAAATTTTGTTACTAGAATTTTTCTTGATGGTGGTGCCATCTATGACAGAGAATGTGAAATAATACAAGATATATTTCATTATACTGGCAGAACATTCGATCTACGCGTATTATTTCCATCACTGCCCATGCATTCGTCATGTTTTATTTAATGGTTCGAGTCTTATGTATTATTTAACTTTGCTTTGCTAACTATAAAATGCTAACTCCATTTGCAAAATGAATGTTAATTTTAACTTGTTGCCAATAGCAATTTAAAGTTAAATTAATTTCATCATATTTAATATTTGTTAAAAAAGCTTGAGTTTGAAGCAAAGTCTACTTAAAAGTTTCATGTAAACTAAAGAATATTAGCGAAATTTCTAACTGAAAATAATCTAATAACAATGCTATTAGTGAGCTTTCTAAGTTAAAATTATCTAATAATCGGGCAGTCATAAAATTGTTGAGTTTAATGGCTCATAGAATTGCTAAATATTACTAAACGTAAGCTTTTGTGTATTTGAGTTATATTTGAGGGTATAAAATATATTTATAGTTGAAATAAAATATGCTTTGAAATTTTATATGAATGCATAGCATTCAGCGGTAGATAATAGCAGAAGGAAATGCTGTAACTATTTATTGTTACAGAGAAGGATGGATATCTAAAGCAGTTTTGGATGTGTTTGAAACTGAACCACTCCCACCGTCTAGTCCACTGTGGCAAACACCAGAGGTCTGTTTTCTAACATTTTGTCCATTAACATTCTCTTACATAATGTTTGCTCAAATATGTTTTAATTCTGACATACCCTATATTATAGGTTTATATTACTCCTCATGTCGGAGCTATTCCTAGAATTGATGGAGTAAGTACTGTTTTCTTGAAATATGTTTGGTTTTTACACATGAATTTCTAAATGAGCTTGAAACTTCGAATGGAATTTGAACTCCATACTTTTAGAACTCTATATATGACCACCACTGATACTGCTTACGACCGGCACATGCGACTTTTATATCTATTTAAAAATTGCTTAGACATTCTCAGCTTCTGCATAGAAGCAGGGTTTGATTACTGTTTAGGCCTTTAAGGACCACTTTCCTGCTTTGACAACCCTAATAGACTCTGCAGCTGGCGCCTGAACTAAAATGTGTATGGACTATAATTAGTCACCTCGTGGATTTGGCGACCAGGCTCCCTTCTCAACATTCTTTAAGTTGGAGAGCATGTACGGAATTTTCTCCTTCTCACCCACGTGCTTTTGTGGTGTAACTGGAAGCAGATCCGGTTGGCAATCTGGAGGTCCGGAGCGACGAGAACACCTTTGACGTTTCATGTCTCCTGCTTTGGAAAAACTAATGACTCTGCAGCGTAAGCAGAATGGATCACACTTAATGCATTATACTATCAATTTACGCTAATTTTTACATTCTGCCACTATCATATGCATTTATCTTAAGTAATTCGGATTCCTTTTACCTTCCTATGTATTTCAGCCTTTACAATGGCCGAGTGGTTAAAGACTGTTGAATACTAGCAATTCGCTCTAGGTTCGAACTCGGGGGAGAGAGCTGGCTCTAGGGTTGGTTTTCATGATTTTCCACATATGTAAAATGAATACGAATCAGTTTCATTTAAAGTGTTCCCCATGAAGGCATCCTTTCCTCTAGCTCCGTATTCTTTACCATATTCAAACAATATAGCGGAACCTAAAGTAGTTGATTGAATCAAAAGCATGTTTACATTTACTCTGAGTGTAAGGCATATATATTTTTTCGTGGGATAAATAGTTTCAATTTTTTTTTTAATTCCATGTTGGTATAAATATAAGATATTCTCGCGCGTAAGTTGCACCGCCTATTTTTGAACATGTTTGCAAGATATATTTCCAAGAAAGTCTTTCATATGTAAGCCTGATGTATTGAAAACGTTTAAGGACATAATTAAATGATCTAAATACTAAACCCTGAGGTAAAACGAAATAAATATGCTTTTTTAACATAAATTTAATCGAGTAGGTATAAGGTATTTTAATATGATTTTATATTTTAAGACAAGTATGAATTTTATAATTTCATTAGGTGGAGTAAGGATGCATTTACAGCTGTGCAGATGCTCTTAAATACATTTATGAAAACTGTCAGTTTATTAACTTATTTTAATTTAATTAGTTAGCCATTAGTTGATGCATCTTCTCTCTTTTTTTTTTTTTTTGGCATTTATTGACTTAATTCATTAATTTGTTTATTCTAATATTAATTTCTGTAAATATCTATTTTTCAGATTGCTAAATTCATAGCTCAAAACTATAAAAGATATGTAAATGGAGAGCCACTTATGAATCATATTGAATGGAACAAAGGATATTAGCGAGAAAAATACAAAAGCCTTTTCTGTTGTACATTTCTGCGTTAAACTTAGCTGAAACTTTCCAAGAATAATGCTGCATATTCGCATATATATTTTAAGTAAAGAATGATGTTGTTATTAGATTGTATTGCATAAATTACCTAAATGTGTACAAACCGATATGATAATATTTATCACAGATGAGATTTGATTTCATGATTTTACGGTTAACAAATAAAGTTTTATGTTCAAATTAAATGTAAGGTGAGCACAGTATTCGAAAACAGATTTTCAGAGAAAAAATAAATCAATTTCTTACAGCGCAAGTAAATACTGCCCGGAATATAATTTGTCGTTCTGATATTTTGAATCAACCCGATTAAATAAAAACTTCAGAAAAAAACGCAATGCAATATTTATTATGCTGTACAGAATATGTACGCAAATGTTTTATTTATTTATTTATTTATTTATTATTGAAAGAAGTAATTGAAACGATGTTAAATCCATTCCATTTTTAACTTCCCTTCTCAAATAAAGAACGTGAAATGAAATACTGAAGCACGGAAGTTTTTCGCGCTTACTGTTTCACTTTCCTATTTGTGTTAATTCACTATTCCACTTTCCTATTTGTATTTTGTTGTGAATATGAAATTATGAAATAAAAGGACCTTTAATTTACATTATTCAATTCCTCCATTATTAATAATTCAACTCATTATTAATAATGAATTAATGTTATTAAATGAAAAGAGCTTCAATTAACATTATTCAATGAACATACAATTAATTCACTGTTAATAATTTAATTAAATTATACATTATTCAATTCATTATTAATAATTAAATTAAATTATAAATTATTCAATTCATTATCGATAATGAATTAACGTTATTCAATTAAAAGATCTTTCATTAACATTATATGCCCACATTGTTACGTTTCATTTTATTGTGAATTTATTCCTCTAACAATTACACCACATTTTATAAATTAATGCAATGTGTTCTTTATGAATTTTATTTTATAATTTCCATTGGAATATATTATTTATATTTTTAAAGAATTAAAAATAACTCTCCTGCTCTCGCCTTAAAACGTAAAAAACTTTAACTGTTCCAGTATTTGCATATTTGAAAATACTAAGATTTTAACTCATTTAAGAAATATAACAACAACAACAACAAAAAAAAAAAAAAAAAAAAAAAAAAAACGAATATTTGAGTAAAAGTACTCTTTGAAATGTTGTTAATTTCTGAATTTATATAAGTGTTTTTTGTACTAATGTATTTTATTTCATTTATGTATTATCTAAAATTGCGGTTGATAAATTTACTATTATTGATGTTAAAAAACTTATTTGTTTTTATATCTTAATATATATGTGCATTTTTACACTACCGAAATACCTGAAATTTTTATATTTATTTTTTTAAACTTCATCTTTTATTTTAAATATTTTATTTAAATTCTATATTTTATTCAAGTTATAAATATTTTGTTGAGCAATGAAAATAATATCTTTACATTATTTTGACATTGTGAATAAATATATGCTATCCAAAAGGCTACCAATAATACATTTTAGATGAAAGTACTAATTCAGAGACTGCATTTTGTTATTGAAAACACTCTACCAATGACAAATCAGGAAAAAATATGCGAAGAAAAAAAATTATATAAGTTTTTTCAAAAACAAGCACATACAAATACATGATTGAAAATAATATAATATAACCTTAAATAGTACACTGAAAGGAAAACCTTAACTATACAAATATCTACTCTACAATTCATTGTACACACAAAATGTATTTGTTACATTCAATAACAAAATACCATCTACACTTCATAAATAATAAACATTTTTCAACTGTGCCATATATAAATATTTTTCATCATAATTTTGTTAAAACTCTCTCCTTTCAAATTCTCAGAGACTTTAAATTTGATATCTTAGACACACATCTCCACATTTCAGCTTGGACAGCTTTTGAGAAATAATTAATTTTTATTTTAATATCATTTCTACGAAATAAAAAACTTGATGGGCTACCATATGATCTTCTGCCAAGTCCATGGTTTAAATATCAGCTAGCTTTAAGTAAACTATCACTCACGGTTGATCCCCTAGTATAAAAATAAATCGTAATTTATTTACAGATTTTATAGCACAAAGTAACTATAAACACTACTCATATTTTAGTATCCCATTCTCTCACAAAAGGCAAAATTATAACTGTACGGGCTCAGGGACACATGTTTTTATTTGAAAATATCGTAGTATATCTTCTGGTTACATAATGATTCAGATTCACAAATCAATGACTTAATAATCACAAAATTTTTTAAAGCAGCATGCATTTAAAGTTTTCAATAGAGTTTTAGTAATTTCCATAAATTTTTTTTCAGTCTTTTCTCAGCTCATGATATCATTGTTCATTTTTCTTAATTGGATAACAACTTTATTATTTGTTATTTTAGTTTTATTTATTAAACATCACTGTTGTGTCATTCAGATGGATGAAAATAAAAGCACAGAACAGATTCAACAAATGTAATATAAATTTCCTCTATTTTATAATTATTTCAAGTATCTTTAGAAGAACAAGCGACTTATATTACATGCGTTGTTTATAAATCCAGAAACATAAAATACAAGGTCCAGACAGCACGAATTATTGAATTAATTAGAAATCTGAATGAAATACAATTAAAATAGCAAAATAATTCAGAATGAAACTTTTTTCTTTTATTTATTTCACTTTAAGTCCAAGTTTTTTACACAACTGTTATAATTTTGATACACTTTTGAATAAAATGCTATAAATCAAGGGCCTCGCTCTTTGATTCTAAACAAAATTCAGTGGCTCACATTTGTTTTCGGACACTTGTATTTGTGAAATTTATTTGCATAGATCCAGTATTAAGTACTGAAACAAAGACATTTTTTTCTGATATATTATTTTTTTTTTCTCCATTTTAATCCTCGCTTGTTATAAAATAAATATCATCAGAATATTCTTTAAAATACAGTGACTTAATTCAGAACTGTTAATCAGCAACTCACATAACAATTTGGACACGTGAAACTTCTGATACGATGGTTTCGCAGATGAAGTTTCTTGTCATAAATTTTAATTTAAATGAAAATATATCACAAGAATTATCGTCTGTATTTGGAAATTATTATATGGTTAGCAAAATATATTCACAGTGCCATATCTGATGTGAACATGGAAAGATGCTGAAAACTAGCCACTAGTTCTGTTAGAAATTTAACTATTCGTCATTTAAAAATTATAAAAGTATTCGAGATGTCCAAAACATGCTTGATATAAAACTTTTAATTATCTTTGATGCGATAAAACGATAGAAGTTGCACGAAACTGTTGAACATGCACTGAAATCTGGACCACATTCCAAGCTATTAGCCCATTAAAATAAAAATATTAATAAAATATATTTTTAATGGGCATTATAAAGCCCATTAAAAATTGAAACCAAAAAAATTGCAGAGACTAACATTTCTTTCCAGGCACTTGTCTTTCTGAAATCTTGTCTTCCTATAAGTTTTCAAGAAAATATGTTAAAAGTTTAAAGTAAAATATCACATCAGTTTTATCACTTTTAGCTAAAATTTAATGTGTTGTTACCATCGATATAAGAGTCTTAAGTACTAAAAACTGAAAAGTTTTGGATTACACTTTTATACAATTTTTCATTAAAATCTGCTGTTGGCTGGGCTTTAAGTAAAGTAACAATTCCGATTGTCCATTAAAAACTTCTTATGGGCTTCATGTTATCATTTCCGATTGTCCAGTTTTCTCCAAAATTCAATTAAACTCTGTGAATGCAGAAAGCTTAAATACGGAGAATAGAAATTTTATATAAGATTTATTATGGAAGAAAAAATCGTGACCAAAGTATATACAGATACATATCATCGTAAAAAAAAAAAAAAAAAAGAAAGAAAGAAAGAAAGAAAGAAAGAAATAACACCCAGCAAAAAAGTGTTGTAGGAACCTTACTTCTTGCTTTATCACTAAAAACTCGCTATTGAATTTTTACCTTCTTTGCTTCCCGTGGTGCAGCCTATTCTTGGCTATAAAATGAATTCTCATGAATTCACAATCATTAGGCGGGCCAGGCTGCTCCCAATTCTAACTACCAACCTACCTTACCTTATACGTTGGTAGTTAGAGGTATAAGGAGGTATAAGATTCTATGAAGTAGCTTTCTTTGCTTTTAACAAAACTCTTTTTGTCATATATTTATACTGCATCATGCTCTTCATTTTCGCTTTTCTCTAGTTCAGTAAACACTCTGAGACTGATTTATTCAACTAAAGAAAACTATCTTTCACATTTTTCATTTACATATTCATTTGCTCTGTAAATCAGCCTATTCACGAGTAAGGTTTTGCAGCTTTTTTTTTGAACAAGTTTTGTGAAGAGTGACAGAGTGGCGCCATCTAACGTTTAGATGGAAAATGTTTACGAATTTAGCGTACATTTATTGAAGTTTTTCTTTTTGTAAGAAATATTTAGCAGTTTCAAGTGAAAAAAAAATTACATTTTTATAAATCAGGCGAAATATTGGTCCATAAAGAAAATTTTTAAATGTATTTTCTATTTTAATTTTATAGTGTAATTGATAGGATTAAAAAAATTATGAAATATCATTCGACTGAGATAACTGTTATTAATTGTTAAGTTAACTGTAAATAAATAACTCACTTGTTAAGAACTGTTATATTAATCATTATTATACGATGTGACTTTTCAGTAATGAGGAAAAGGTATGAAAAGTGTGCTTAAAAGTGTTAAAAATTCAAAATTCGTTTAATAAAAATATACTTAACTGTGGGTATTAACTGTATGAAACATATTTAATAAATTATTTAAAAAGCATAAATACACCATAAAAGCAATAAAATGAATAATAATATTTATAGAATCTTTAATGGAAATGAATTTATTTTATTTTATACTATTTTAATACATCTCAACTTTTAATGCTCAAAGATGGCGCCACTAACGATTCAGTGGCTACTAACCTTGAATTAAATTACACATTGATTAAAATGTTGTGAATCTGTTTATGAAACCTACAAACTGTTTAGTTTACTATTTTCTGTTTCGGCAGTTTTTTTATAAAAAATACGTTATACTACTGTAATTTTTGTTTTATTAACCGTTTGGGTTTTATTAGCATAAATACATGATGACATTAAAAGAGTAAAGATTCATTTTATTCTTTTGTAATGATAAAATTAAACTGAAATAAGAAAAATTTTTAATTCTGATCATTAGAATACTAGACAGATAGAGATGTTGTAGTCAAAAGGTATTTTTAATTGCTTCCTTTTATTTCATAAGGATTTCAGGAAATCTCTTTCCTATTTTATTTGCAATTCAGTCTTAATTATAATAACACGAGCCCTAATGCAATGTTTATTAATTTTATATACTACTTTATTATATTTCAGTAGTTTCTTTTATGTGAAATGGCAATTTTTCTCTTCCCTCGTCGCAAGAAAAATGCAAAGGT